TTGAGTGTATCGGTAAAGTTGTATTCGGAAAGAATAAACCAGTTTTATTAAGTAAAGACTTGTGTCGTTATAGTTTCGTCGGAACGAAGTTACGGAAAATCAATTAACAAACGGAGACGTAACAGTATGTTGACCCGTAGCTTAATGATTAGCGTTGCGGATCCGGGCGTCTAGGGTTCGAGACGTGGTGCTTTCAGACACGATTCGCACTTTCAGCTGTGATATTTTATAACAGTAATGTTCCATCCCACTATTCGGCAGCCATCTTGTTTCCTTTTCTCTAGTCCGCAGATCAAAACTTCTAACAGAAAGCGGATAATTTGTCGTTTAGGTAAACATCCCGACAAACGTGCTTGTCTTTTCTTCCAACATATTGTCATTAGGTCATTTGTCTTATCTAAACATGCTTTACCCGTTTTTGCATTACTTCAACTGTCTAACCAAAAACAGAAGTGTTTATAGCTCTGCTTGAGATGTCCACATTTGTTTGCCATAACTACAGTCCTTAAACAAGTGTTTAAGAACTCTGCTGTGTCTCGCCATATTCAACTGTGATAGTTGTATCCATTCCATTATTCGCCCTTCTAAAGAATATAAATTCTCTTCAGCCTACGATTCGTGTTGCTTTCCATTAGATGTTTTTTCAAGTGAAACAAGCATGTTTCATTAATCTCGTCAGTTCTCTTTTTCTTCCTCAATTTTCTTAAATAAAACTCCTACTTTTAATTATGAGAACACTGTTTGCGATATGAATCTCATGTGTTCCATAAAAAATAAAACATACTCTCAAAAATGCATCCTTATAACGACTGCAAGTTACAAAGATTTTCTGACAAAATATTTCTGGTAAAATAGCTTTGATCAGAAAGTTTTCAGTTTCACTCATGTTTGTAAACAGTACTTTGAAAAATTCCAGAAATCCTGCAAAAAATTAAACCATGCATACGGATTTGTTTGTTTCATAATTTTTTCACAAAGCTAAACAAAGGGCTATCTGTGCACAGCCTTCCTTAACTTTGAAATGACAGACTAGAGGAAAGGCAGCTAGTCAACAGCACCAACCGCCAAATTTTGGAGTACTCTTCAGGCCCGTATGCAGAATGTTTGAAAGGGGTTCTAATTTGTCAGATCAAAAGCCAACACATATTGTGCTAAGCACAATCAGCATACAAAACTTGTTAATGCTACGGGAGTCTGGGGGAATGCACCCCCTCCCCCAGAAAATGTATAAAAAATTTGATGCTATGAGATTCAATCTGGAAGCAGTTTTGCATGAAAAAAAAATTGGATAACTGTTCGCATAAATTCCACAACCATCCAAAACGTTAAATACCATAAGCAGCTGCGCTATACCTACAAGCATTTTTTCTTTACATCACAACAACAGGGGGTTCGGCTAAACCCCTATGCACACATGCGTGCTCTTACTTAACTGAATAATTGAATGTGATCCTCTCTCTTATAGCTCTTCCACAGCCTTAAAGTACGAATTACCATTCACTCTAACAATTAAAGCAAAACATGAAGAAGACTGTGCCATATAGATATGCCACTCCACTGATTCAACAGATATTTCTTAAAACCTTTTCAGCCGTTATCCAAGCACTGTACAATTCACATTTACTGCACTAATGGTTCTGAACATATTAAACATATAAACACCTACCCTTGAACTCCAACTAGTTCTAAAATAATCAATTTTTCGGATAGATCTGTTTTTCTGATATCGATATTAATAATAGTTGTACATTATTAATTCTCAGTGTTTTAAATATGAATGGGAGCTGGGATTCGTTTACAGTAAGTGACTTGTTGGCGATAAATCGAACAATAAACGGACGGCACACAATCCACTTGTTTTAAAATAATATATTCAAAACAAGTCAAACGTGTGTACAAAAATTCATTACACTGTAGGATATCACAGTTGTATCTAAAACTCTAAATAATTCTTTATTCTTTTCAAAAGCCCACACAGGCTGATTCAATTACTTTCAAATCCAATTGATAAGACGAATTATATTTCTATATACTGTTTCTTA